CAGAGGATACAAAGCTTGGCGGGGTTGCAACTGCTTTGGAGGACAGGATAATAATTCAAAATGATCTGGACAAACTGGAGAAATGGTCTGAGGAAAAATAGGATGAAGTTTAATAAGGACGAATGCAAAGTACTCCATTCTGGGTTGCATTAACAGGAGTGTTGTGAGCAACACACATTAAGTCATTGTTCCGCTCTACTCTGCGCTAATTAGGCCTCAGTTGGAGTATTGTGTCCAGTTCTGGGAACCACATTTCAAGAAAGATGTGGAGAAACTGGAGAAGGTCCAGAGAAGAGTAACAAGAATGATTAAAGGTCTAGAGAACATGACCTATCAATGAAGGCTGAAAGAACTGGGCTTGTTTAGTTTGGAAAGGGTGTCACAAGGAGAAGGGAGAAAAATTGTTCTCCTTGGCCTCTGATGATAGGAAAAGAAGCAATGGGCTTAAACTGCAGCAAGGGAGGTTTAGGTTGGACATTAAGAAAAACTTCCTAACTGTCAGGATGGTTAAACACTGCAATAAATTGCCCAGGGAGGTTGAGAAATCTCCATCTCTGGAGATATTTAAGAGCAGGTTAGACAGACATCTCTCAGGGATGGTCTAGATAGCACTGGGTCGTGCCATGAGGGGAGGGGACTGGACTTAATGACCTCTCAAGGTCCCTTCCAGTTCTATGATTCTATGGTGAATCCATGAGAAACACTCAAACTTGAACTTGTGTTTGCTGTGTCTCTACGAAGTGTGGCAGATCTCATAGCAGAGGCACCCTGATGTTTATAGGTACCATACCTCAGAGCCGCTGGTACTGAAGCATGCTGACTGCACTGGGGAACCGCTTAGGGTTAGAAAAGCCGGAAAAGAGCGTCTACACTGGCCCCGATCCTCCGGAAAAAAAGCCATTTTCCGGAGGATCTTATTGCTACTTTGAAGTAAGAATAAGATCCTCCGGAAAAGGGCTTTTTTTCCGGAGGATCGGGGCCAGTGTAGACGCTCTTTTCCGGCTTTTCTAAAAGCCGGAAAAAAGCGGCAGACATTTTTATTTAAATTCCGCGGGGGATATTTAAATCCCCCGCGCGTTTCCCTATTGCGATTTCAAAAATTACCATGCCCCTTCCGGAAAAGGGGCCAATGTAGACGTAGCCTAAGAGATATGGGACTCTCCCAGACTATGTAGGAAAGGGGGAGAAATACATCCAGATAGAACTTTAGTTTACATTTCTGCCCTTTTTCTTCTTTTTTAAAAATCCCAACAGGATAAAAAGGAAACACTATTATATAAAACAAAGGAAACAAAACAAAACAAAACAAACCCTACTACTTATGTTAATGATGCAGATAAGACAGGGACAACAAAGAACATAAGAATGGCCTATCTGGGTCAGACCAAATGTCCATCCAGGCCAGTATCTTGTCTGCCGACAGTGGCCAATGCCAAGTGCCCCAAAGGGAGTGAATCGAACAGGTAATGATCAAGCGATTTCTCTTCTGCCATCCATCTCCACCCTCTGACAAATAGAGGCTAGGGATACCATTCCTTGCCCATTCTGGCTAATAGCCATTAATGAACTTAGCCTCCATTAATTTATCTAGTTCTCTTTTAATCCCTGTTATAGTCCTAGCCTTCACAACCTCATCAGGCAAGGAGTTCCATCGGTTGACTGTCGACTGTATGAAGAACTTCCTTTTATTTGTTTTAAACCAGCTGCCCATTAATTTCATTTGCTGACCCCCTAGTTCTTATGTTATGGGAACAAGTAAATAACTTTTCCTTATTTACTTTCTCCACACCACTCATGATTTTATATACCTCTATCATATCCCCCCTTAGTCTCCTCTTTTCCAAACTGAAAAGTCCCAGTCTCTTTAATCTCTCCTCATATGGGACCCATTCCAAACCCCTAATCATTTTAGTTACCTTTCTCTGAACTTTTTCTAATGCTAGTACAGTAAAACCTGTGTTATCTGGTATGCTTGGGGATTAGAGCGTTCTGGATTTCTAAAAATTCTGGTTATCTGAGGGTCCCATTAACCTAGGAAAAAACAATGGACAATAATAGTAAAACTTATTTTATTAAATGCAAACAGTACTGTAATTATTATAAGGCACAGTAACAAATCAAAACTAAAAGTTTAGTCATTCTCTGGATCCAAATCACTGGTACCCTCCCCCCCGCTGACATAAGTGGCAAGCACTCTCTCCCCGCTGTAGCTGCGACTACCGTGCCGTAGAGTCTGCCAGCTGCCCGGCCCAGCCTCGCACCAGCCAGATTAAAGCAGCGTGCCACAAGGCTGCGCCCTGCCTCATGCTGGCAGGATCAAAGTGCAGCGCCGCGCGGCTGCGCCCAACCCCTGGTTTCTAAATTTTGCCGGTTACTAAAGTTTTCCAGATAGTTAGGTTCGGACAGCACAGGTTTTACTGTATATCTTTTTTGAGATGAGGAGACCACATCTGTATGCAGTATTCAAGATGTGGGCGTACCATGGATTTATATAAGGGCAATAAGACATTCTCTGTCTTATTCTCTATCCCTCTTTTAATGATTCCTAACATCCTGTTTGCTTTTTTGACTGTCGCTGCAGTGGACTATCCACGATGACTCCAAGGTCTCTTTCCTGATTAGTTATAGTTAAATTAGCCCCCATCACATTGTATGTATAGTTGGGGTCATGTGCAGGATAAATGTACACTGCTACCTAAAATCTCTGAGTAGAGGTGCAGGTACACAGAAATACCTACAGTGGAGCACCCCTAGGAACACTACTCAAAAAAGAAAATAGAGGGGGGGGGTTGGGGGGGGGAGGGAGGGAGTCTTGAGCTTCAAGCTATGTGGGACAGGACTATCAGAATTCCCCTTACCTTTAGTCCTGATCAACTAGGTTTCACATCAAGTAAAACAGCAGCAACAGCCCTGCTGCTGTTTTATCCCTTTTTATCCCCTTCCCTGATGGATGGATGAAGGAAATGATTCAGAACAGACACTCTCACAAGTCAGATTATATCATAAAGATCAGTTCTGGCTTCAAAAAAAAAAATCTATGAATCTACAGAAGAGACAAAGCAGTAGGCCAAGGGAAACTGACTGAACCATCCTAATATAATAGGGGGAAGGAGAAGCCTGGCTGGAAAAACAAGCTAGGAAAGAAAAGTAGTCTGGGGCTTTTATAAATACTGGCTCTTCTCTCTTTCAGACACATGTAGGGGAAAAAAAGCACTTAAAACTGTGTGTGTTTGCTAGACTAGAATAAGCACAGGAGAAAAACCCCATGGAGAACAACAAGACAGGGTACAGATGGGGCCTCAACAACCTAATGAGCACCCGACTTTAATTACTCCGTAACTAAATAAACATATGGAGATTTATATTGCTTTCATTTTGGGGTAAACTACTCTGTGTTTTAATCTTTGTACCCTGTGCTATAATATTGTCTGTGGTCACTACTCCGTTAGCAGCACTTGTCAAGCCTAACAATTTCACTTCAGCTAATATTATTATAATCTATATATAAAAGATAGTATGTAAGGTATCATTGGAAAATTAATAACCCACTTATTAAAATTCTGGCATGATGAATATATGGCTTACATACAAAAATTCTGAATGTGTGCTAGACTTATGTTCTTTAAAATGTGTTTGACAAGCTGTGCGTGAGCCCACTTTACCCTAGTCAAAAGACAAAAGAATTTGTCTCGGGCAAATGTAGGAAGATATAGGAGAGAAGGAAGCCAACCAGGACACAAAAGGCCAGAGGTCTTCCATGCTAATAAAGAGGGGTTCTTCTAACAAGAGGGCTGAAGTCTCTGGAACGGAAGATTGGTAAGGATCTTGAACAAACACTGTGGCTATGTCTACACTACGGCTTTTGCTGGAAAAGGCAATGCAAATGAAGCACTGATTAGCATTTTGTTGTGCTTCATTTACATAATCTATTCTAAGTTGTTTTTGTGCAAGGGGTTTTTGCACAAAAACAAGCAGTGTGGCCGTGGCCATTTTGTGCAAAAAACCTTTTGCGCAAGATCCTTATGCCTCCCTGAGGGAGCATGCCCAACTATGCTTCAGAGCCCTCTTCAATAATAGTTGGCAGTATTTGTTTTGTGATGCACTCTGTAAACCTGTAGGGCTCATGGAGGGGTGCCTTCCCCTCGGGGTCAGTGGGCGGCCACTCTGACCCACTACACCCTGTTCAGCCTGTTTGGGGAATTAGCGGGGGTTTTGGTCCAGAGTCCAGGCCCTTGCTCAGGGTGGGAATTTGGAGGCCCAAGCCCTTGCTTCAGAGTAGGGCGGCAAAGTAATACAGTCAAAGCTCAGCCTCAGTTCAGGGCAGGGCAGCACGGTAAACAATCAAAGCCCAGTCTTAGTTCAGGATGGGGTGACAAACAAACAGTCAAAGCTCTGCCTTGGTTTAGGGCAAGGTGGCAAAGTAAACCATCTGAAGCCCAGTACATGGCACAAGAACATTCAGGGCACATTCGGAGCCCCAACTAAAACTGTTGGCCAAAAGATTCCAACCTCGTGAACATTAAGAATAGAATATATAGGGACAATTTCTCAAAGAAGGAATTCACATTTCTATTAAATAAAACAATTAGCAATTACACTTGCTGGAATACAATTCTAAAATAATATCATTCTTCATGTCTGATAGTATGAATTGATCACCAGCAGCAGACCAGAAAATAACTCCTCTCCAATAAGAATACAGATTAAAATATTATCAAAGTTTTACAACTTTTTAAATACTGACTGCTGCCAGAGTCAGAATACCAGATTCAATGATCCATTAATAAATCCAGGGTGATAATTCCTAAATTTCCATCAGAGAAGTACAAAAGATGCTTATTTGGAAAAGCATTAAATTCAATTCCAAGTATTAATTTTAAATAAGTTCATAAACTGTAACTGTCCTTTTCAGTATGTATTTTCTGAATGTATATTAAAATAGAATAACCTCGAAAAAACTACAAAACATGTGCAGTAAAAGGGGAAAAGCTCAGACTTACCTATAACTGATTCAACTGTATTGCTGCCAGGGTAGAACGGGACAGCTTTGGCACTGATAACTGACGGAGCTGTTGGGGATGAATTATCTGATCCAATACTGGAAGCCAGACTAGAAGTTATACTGGATGTTATACTCGAAGCAAGTGGATTAACCACTGAAAAAACACTGAGATGATTCTGTTTAAAAATATACAAATAAAATAAGCAAAACGCATTTGAAAACAAAATTATTAAAATAATATTATAATCTATATAATGCCTCCCAAACCTTTGTTTATTTAAATGTTCACAATAGAAGAATCTATGGCATTAATGAATATAGGATCATGTTCCTGTGTATTTGGCAGCAAATATGCTTGACATAGCTAACACATTTCAACGGTTTGGAAATTGCTCCCAGAAAATGTGTGTCATGCGATACAACAGGCTGGAACAGCTGCAGTCTGAGGAACAATTCCAAAAGAAAAATCCATGCAAGAGGTGACTGAGGCCAATTTTGTATTCCTATATAAAAATTATCATAGATATCTGAGGCATATAATATCCAGACGCTTTAGCTCATTTAATCCATTCTTTAGACATAAACATACAGACTCATACATCTATATCTCATATAAATTAGTGTCCAAGTTAGCAAGCATTGCGTCAAAATATGATTGTACATAAGGCATTTATACATCTGTGCTGCTTACCTGTAGCAGCTGACAGAAGGAAAGAAGTTAAGGTCTTTGATTCAAGACAGTTTTTTCCCCTACAAATTTATTAAATATAATCAATTAGGATTCTGAATAGGAAAACTAAGTTCAAAAAGTCTGGAGCGAGTTTGTGCAGAACCCAATATTTTTAGTCTCTTACTTAAAAAAAAACCAAAATAATAATTTTGAGCTTCAGTAACAATGTATGGAACATACATCAGTGCCTAAGACTCAGGACCACTGAATCTGTATTAATACCGTAGTTCTCTGCAGAAGTGCTAATCTGATTGGTGCCAATATCATTGGTGGTATCCAGTCAGATTACAGATATGGGTATATTATGGAAACGAGGCTGGTTGTAGAACAGATGAACAATTTCTACATGCTCATTCTCAAAGGCCAATTATGCATTTGGATATTACCAGATTTTTTTTAGTTTTCTTATCCTACCATGATGATGTACTGTTGAATTGTCTATAAAATCTTGCACACATGGATAGTGGGGTGTATTATGTTGATTTCACTGATTTATTATGCATGCATTTCAAAGCGTTATGGTGGGCAGCTGAATCTCCTCCCTGAAAGTTCTAAGTCTACATTTCTAGTACAGTACTCAATGTGAAGTCTAGCTCTCAATTGTGAAATCTCTTAAATTCTCAGTTCATTCACCTTTTTCATTCAACCTATGAGAGAATTCTTGGAGAGACTGTTGAATGCAATGTAGCTGTAAACATGTTGGTTCCAGGATATTAGAGACACAAAGTGGAGAAGGTAATATTTTTACTGGACCATCTTTTGTTTGTGGAATACTAGAGTACAATATGCCATTACTCTGAGATCTACAACTTTACTTCCCAAGTATCGCAGTGTTTGAGTGAAACAGGAATCCGTGAAAAGTAGCCAGGTAATGAATGAGACAGGGAACTGCAGGAAGAGAAAGGATAGTCTAGCTAGTTAATCAGAAGATTAGGGCTGGAAGAAACCTTAAGAGGTCATGGAGTCCAATCCCCTGCTAAAAGCAGGACCAATCCCAACTAAAACATTCTAGCCAGGGCTTTGTCAAGCCCAGCTTTAAAAACCGATAAGGCTGGAGATTCCACCACTTCTCTAGGTAAGTCTTTCCAATGCTTCACCATCCTACTACTGAAATAGTTTTTCCCTAATAGTCAATCTACATCTCCCCCACAGCAACTTGAGATCATTGCTCCTCATTCTGTCATCTACTACCACTGAAAGTAGTCTAGCTCCATCCTTTTTTTTTTTTAATTAAATAATGGAGATTGCCTATCTCCTAGAACTGGAATGGACCTTGAAAGGTCATCAAGTCCAGTCCCCTGCCTTCGCAGCAGGACCAAGTACCACACCTGATGAATTTTTGCCCCAAATCCCTAAATGGCCTCCACAAGGATTGAACTCACAACCCTGGGTTTAGCAGGCCAATGCTCAAACCACTGAGCTATCACCCTCCCCCTCATTTTTCTCATCTGCAGATTAAATAAGCCCAGTTCCTTCAGCCTATCCTCACAAGTCATGTGCCCTATCCCCCTAAAAATTTGTGTTGCTCTCTGCTGGACTCTGTCCAATTTGTCTACCTCCCTTTATGTAGTTGGGGGCCTAAAATTGGATGCTGAATAGAGGGGAATTATCACTTCCCTTGATCTGTTGGCAATGTTCCTGCTAATGCAGCCCAAAATGCCTTTAGCCCTTTGGCAACAAGGGCACACTGTTGACCCATATCCAACTTGGCATCCACTGCAATCCTCAGGTCCTTTTCTGCACAACTGCCATTTAGCCAGTCAGTCCCCAGCCTATAGAAGTGCCTAGGTTTCTTCTATTCCTAAGTGCAGCATTCTGTACTTGTCCATGTGGAACCTCATCAGGTTTCTTTTGGCCTAATCCTCCAGTATGTTCTAGGTCACTCTGGACCCTATCCCTACCCTCTAACTTAGCTACCTCTCCCCCAGCTTAGTGTTATCCACAAACTTTCTGAGGGTACAATCCATCCTATTATCCAGATCATTAATGAAGATGTTCAACAAAACCAGGCCCAGGACCAACCCGAGGGGCACTCCACTTGATACCGGCTGCCATTAATCACTACATGTTGAGCCCAACAATCTAGCCAGCTTTCTATCCACCTTACCGCCCATATCAAAAGCTTTGCTAAAGTCAAGGTATAATGTAGTTGAATGTCTCCCTGAAGAATGGATAGAATCCAATTCCTTTGCTACAGAATTCCTATGTAATGCTGGGAAAGCTCTCTCAGGGTATGTCTACACTACCCTCCTAGTTCGAACTAGCGGGGTAATGTATGCATACCGCACTTGCTAATGAAGCCCGGGATTTGAATTTCCCGGGCTTCATTAGCATAAGCGTATAATGTAGTTGAATGTCTCCCTGAAGAATGGATAGAATCCAATTCCTTTGCTACAGAATTCCTATGTAATGCTGGGAAAGCTCTCTCAGGGTATGTCTACACTACCCTCCTAGTTCGAACTAGCGGGGTAATGTATGCATACCGCACTTGCTAATGAAGCCCGGGATTTGAATTTCCCGGGCTTCATTAGCATAAGCGGG